CAGCCTTTCTCAAAGTTGGCTATAGCAAAAGCTCTGGGATGCACACAGCTCGCCCAGAGCACCTGATCCACCACGACTGCAGCTCCCTCAGTGGCGCAGAGATGTCTGGGCTCCTGAAAAGCCATACCTGCTCCAACCATCCAGTTTTAGTTGTGTTCTTTAATAGCACAGTCTGTACCCTGTTCGGTGGTGCTCTTCTGCTTGAATTGATTTTCTAGTATCCTACTTCTGCAATTTCTTTCTCCTTGACCTAGGAAAAAAATAAGGGGAAAATTATTTTTAATTGCAGAATAGGAACAGGAGATTTTCCAGTGTGAGTTCAGCTGCACAAAACCCCTTCAGGAAACACATGAGGGTATGCCTCTCTTCTTGGCCTCCATCTCCTAGTCCTGCTTTAAATCAGTGATATGCAGTCACCCTAGGGCTGGAACATGGTATCCACTGAGCAGCATGTGATAAAACCACCTGTCTGGTTTTAAGGGCAGAGCAGCAAATGATTTTGTTCCTCTTGGAAGTTACAGAGAGTATGGGGAAGCAGTCTGTAGCTGGCCCAGAGGGAAGTGCCTGGCCATGGCTCTTAGCTCAGACAAAGATTGCTTGTGCTGAGAAAGGTGATTATAGGTGAACTGAGGTTTCTCACAGCCCCAAGCCAGTAGGTAACCCTTGTCTGGAGTCTGGTTGTTGTTGGCTCTGGGCAGGCTGTTGGGTGCTGGAGGAGGTAGGTGTCCAGTGAGAGCTGATGATGTTTGTGCTGTTGGCAGCAGGCAATCTGCCCAGCATGCTTGTCCGCCAGAAGGGTTTCTGTATTCCTGAGTGGGATACAAACCTTTCATTAGGAGCCAAGACAGACTTACCTGCAAATTCAGCCTCCAGCGCTGTAAGGGCAAAGATCTCAAAGTTCACCCTATCATTAGAGAAGCAGGAGCGGTAGTTACGGCTAGGACAGCAAAACTAGGCTTTTGGGGCCTGCCACTGGATATTTTCTGCCTTGGCCAAATCACATTTATCTTTACAAAGTATCCCCATTTCCTCACCTCTAAAATAAGAATGACTCCTTCCCTACAGCTACTGAAGAAAAACTTGATAGGTATTGGCTTAGATTGTGCAAAACTTAAGTTTTCCCTCCTAGAAGCAACTGCTGGCACCCCACGTGTTGCAGGGCTTTCACCTCTAGCACTGTGTGCCTGCAATGCCTTGAGTTTTGAATTCTTAGAATCAGAGAATGCCCCGATTTGCTGACCACGTTACAGCCTCAGTGATGGCTTTACTTCTCTAAAGAGATGTTGCAGGCTGGAAATAAAGTCTCTCCAAAAATACAGAAAGATAACTTCTAAGAGGTAGATTTGTATTGAGACTTGAACAAACAGATTTTGGTTTCCATACGAGTCTGTTCCTTTCTGTTTCTTCTGCAATCTGAAATGTCACCAAACTTGTCTTGTTATACTCCTATGGGCCTATAACCCCATCTTTGGGGTCTTCACTCTGCTTTCTGTGGGCTGCTGGCATCACTGCTAAGATCAGCCAGAGCGCCTCTTCCAACAGCCATGTCTGCAGTCAGGCTGAGGGGAAAGCAGAAACAAACTGGGGAAATGGCTTTCCTCCCTCCTTGGGGTATAAAACGTTCTCTTCTTTCAAGTTAATTTGTTCTGTGAAAGTTCCCCTTGAAATCATTTTCCAGCAACTCTGAAAGATCAAATAGATTATATTGAAAGCTACTGTAGGATGGAGTGCCCATTTGGATTTAATAAATGCTGGTTTATGGAGCTAGCCTCATTATTTCTTTGGGATAAACCTATAGAGAATGGAGAGGAGGAAAGATTTTTATGTTTCTGAAAAATTTATCCCACGAACAGTAAAAACATACCATAGAAATATACCAGCCACAAAAATGACATCTTAAACACAGTATTTATGACTTTCTATATTTGTTTTGCATAAACTTTTCTGGTTTCTATTACTAAGATTGATTTATAGAGTTTATTTGGAATAAATGTAATGCATATTTAAAACAAACAAAGCCCCGATCTGCTAAGCACCCAGGAGCTATAAAAGCTCTGCACAGTTCAAACTGGGACCCTCTGAGTCCTTTTTATTGGAATACCTTTTTCCATTTAAAAAAAAAATACAGGAAAATGGTATGAAAGGAGATGAAGAAAAGCAGTTTGGGAAAATGCATCTAGCCAGTGTTTGGGCTAGAATTGGACTGAGCTCTTTATTCAGCATCGTGTTCTGTTCCTTAATGAAACGTTCTTTATCCAAATGGAAATTTTACCACGAATATCCCTTTGCCCTGATTTGTCTGGGAGGTGTGGGGAGCTGAAGGCTTGGAGGGAATTGAAAATTTCTCAGAAAGTGTTTTGGTTTTACTGAAATCCACGTAACTTTGGAAGACGCACCGAACTAGAAACTTGTTAGTAATTTTTCCATGGGAGCATTCATTTCAGCCTTCAGAAGTTATGGAAAGCAAACAAGAACCTGAAGCAATTTGCCTATAAGCCATCGGTGATTGATTTGTAAGTGAGCTAATTGCGTGTTTTAGCGAGTGGGGGGAAAAACAGTAAAACAAGGGTTGTATTTATTGATTTATTTTCAAAATACATAAGTTGCCTTTATCTCCTCTTTCTTCCTGTTCCCCTAACAGGCTTGGCATCTGCCCTGTTCTTTCCTATAACTGAGTGCATTCTTAGTGCATTTCTAGATTAGCTAAAATAGTACTTTTTCTGTATATCTTGGGTGGGTTTGCAAGTCATCACAGCATAAAGTCTCTCTCAGAATCCCAACTGATGTTCTCACATGCCAACAGCAAAGCACCTGGGTCTTGAATATCCAAATTCAGCGGCATTGGGTGAAGAAAATTTAGGATCATCCTGAGCTTGTTATTAAAAATATGCTGGCAGATTAAAACTGAAGCTAATCAGCTTTTAAATAACTTAAAATTATAATTTCAGCTACGTTTGCTGAAAACATGCCTGCTGCCACAGTGTCTAAGTTGATGCACACAGGAAGGCTGCACGCTTGTGTTCTGTTGACAGCTAACCAGTGGGTCATATTCCTGCCTTTGGAGTTGTTATTCCACACCTCTGAGATGGCAGTAAATGGCAGAAAAATGGGATATTCTTAGTCCAACTCAAGATAGCACGCTGGCCTTGGTATTGTCATAGGCCTATCTGGATTAAATCACACTGCTTTGGAAGCCAGGGTACACTGGAGGGCGTATTCACATGCTGCTGGTCTCATAGACCATGTTTGGTGAATTGTCTGCTTGTGCTTCTTGGGCTGCTGTTAAGCTTAAACCATCCCGTGTGACTCCAGTGTCTTGTCTGTGACACGTCCCAGCAACTCCACATTGCTTGGGCACAGACAGCACTGAGAGTCCTGATGCAAAGTGTGCCTCCCACCTTGCCAAGCAAGAACGCTTCTGCTGAAATAAATGATTGCCCATAATGAGCACTATTTGACAGAGAAATAATTGGCTGTCACACAGAAGTACTGATGTAACTGGGTTTAAAAAGCATCTTTTTCAAGTTGGCTGAGCGCAGAGCCATGGGGGACAGGGCCCTGGAGAGCAGCACTGTGAAACACGAGTCATCTCCTATGACCTTTGTGCACAAAGAACTTTCACCTCCTGCTACCGGTTGCTAAAAGGACATGCATGTACTTCTAGTAAGGCCTTTTGCTCTTCTGTAATTGTCTGATGCTGCACTCAACAGGAGTTAACTTCAGCATCAACAAGGATAGCAAAGGCTGGGACCATTGTCCTCCTCAGTCAACATGGCTGCAGCAAAAATATGGCCACTGTGTGGGGAAAATGGATCCCTTGAGGAGGGACAGAGTCACTTGTTTGTGTAGGCACCAACTAGCAAGACAGCAGGTCTGGTTTGAATTTGGGAAGGAATAAACAACAATTGGGTGACTGCAAGCAGGTTCACCACACAATACAGTAAATTCCATTCCTTTTATTTTTCTCCTTTTGCTTCTCCGTATTCCCAACCCTTTTCACAGATCATCTTTTTCCCCCTTCCTATTCGGAGGCTCTGCACTTCCTCACACTGCCCTGGTATCTTTCAGGCAAACACAGAAAATGGAGCTGTTGAAAGAAAACCCCCAAAATGCAAACAAAAATGTCTTCAGATTAGGCAGATGATACCAAATCTCACCTGTCTGCTGGTGAACACATGAAGAGCAGATGTGCCCTCTGGCACCAGTGAGTTATTTAGAGAACTGTGAACTGAAAGGCATCAAATGGCCCTTGTGGGGCTCTGCAGGAAAGCTATGTCTGCCAAGGACAGAATGGCTATGATTAGTAGCAATGATCATGTGCATTTGGTCCAAGCAACCGTGCTACACTGTGCCCTGATAGCAGGGAGAGAGGTTGGGAAAAAAACATGTAAAGCTTTACTAATAAAACTGATGGTTATAAGGGTCCCACAGCAATAGAATGGGTAGGGTTCCCAGAAAAGAATTTGTTGGGGCTCAAGAGGTTGCTTGGGGCAAAACTCAGGAGACTGGATGCCTACTGCCTTCACCAGCTGCTGGTTATCCCCTAGAAACTTGTCTTGTTCTCCTGGATAGAAATAACTGTGATGTACTGTAGCATGTGCCTTGTTTGTGATGGCTCCCATCCAAAGCCTACTGATATCAGAGGAATGCTTTGCAGAAACTCAGAAGGATTTCAGATCAGACCTCAACCTTTGCAGCTACTTTTATACTGCTTTCCTGCCAGGACTCGCTGACCAGCCACCCAATGTAAGAAAATCTGCATGAAGTGTCAGTCAGGGTTCAGTTCAAGTGACAGCTAAATATGCCTCTCTGGAGATGAATGAGAGCCGGTGGGCTTGAAATGCAAACAGCCTCAAACAAAGCCAGCCAGTGTCCACACCAGCTAGTTTTTAAATCACATCGTAGCCTTTGACCATTAACACTTCAAACACCATCCAACTCTTTGAAAACTCAGCTCATTTATTAACGTTCCTATTAATGTCCCATCATATTCTCTTCAGGTTTGCATCCTGGACTGGTCAAAATGCGGCTGCTCTATCCTGCGTGGGCAAGGGTAAAGAGTAGCCCTGAGATACTTTAGAAGAGACAGCACGATCTGGTGATGGGATGCAAAGGTCTGAAGTCTTCCTTTGTCTGTCAAGCATGTGCTCTTCAGGTTTGGGTAAGTCATGGTTCCTTCCACTCTACTTTCAGGTTGAGTCATTGCTCTGAGGCCCCAGGTTGGCTGCAGATGCCTCTGGCGTGGTATAGTTCTGGGAAGAGCAAAGAGTTTTAAAGCTCAGTGCTCTACTGCTGAGTGCCATATACAGGCACATGCCTGGAGCAGTGCCTATGGGTCTAAACTTCATGCCAGACTTATCCAGGTAGCATGACACAATGAAAGAGACACAGTTTCGAGCAGATACTTTCAAATCTCAACATCAAGAGCAGGACACTCTCAAGTGATAGCCCAAACTTGGCAAAGATCTACCTAGAGAAATAGTGCTTTTGAGATTAGATATCTATTGTACTGGTTCACTCCTGGCTGAGGGTCTCCCCACCAGTTTGTGCCACTCTCCTCCTTTATAGAGAGAAAGAAACAAGCCAGTGAAGGTCTTAGAACTGCCATGATCTGAGGAACTGCCCTGACTGACAAGAAATGTTCTCCATGCAGAGTGGTACAGAGACCTTTCCAAAAGGCTCTGGGTTCTCTGTATATCACAGCATGCACACCTATGTTTTCTGGGGCTCCCCACACAACAACTGACTTGTACACTCCCCTTGCTGGGTTTGGAGCTCTTCTGCTTTCTGGATATAAAAATGTTCTTTAGAGCAAAAGAACTTAACTGTGTTGTTTTTTTTCCTGCTCTGTGGACAGACACAGTGCAAGCAGAGCGAGCATGAATTGCACCACACTTGCTGCTCACCAGCTGGCCAGGGGAAAACAGTGCTTGCTTCTGTCTGGGCTTTGGGGCTGGAAAGGTGAGGCCAGCAACAGGAGTCAAGACAAATAGGAGCCTGTTTTTGATTTGTCATCTGACCCCTGCCAGTTCAGAGCACCCTGTCTGTAATCGTGACCTAAATTAAGCCCAAATGCCATCAGCAAGACTTTCTCTCACAATGCAAGTGTTTCCAGGTACCTAGCCAAAGATTTATAATCCACCTCTAATTACATTCTTGTTTGCGTCTGCTGTCATGCTGGCTTGGTCTTTCTGTGGTTCGTTAAGTCAAAGAGCGTGCCTGGCCCTTTGTGCTCCCAGCCTGTGTTCACAGACAGCAAGGGACGCCCATGGCTGACAGTTTAGCTGCTGGAAGAAACCTGCTGTGCTGGGCTGTGTGTCTTTAGTAGCCCAAATATCATGGGAAACATTTTGGCTTATTAAATCCTTGACTGCACAGTCTGCTGTCCACGGTGGGTTCATTTGATAGAAATAGCTCTGGCAGCAGCCCAAGAGCAAGAAAGCTGCTTTTCTCTTAAATGTGAAAGGAGACAAAGTCTTGGTGTTCCCTGCCCAGCCAGCTCTTGCCTTTTGGATGGCAGATGACCAGCATCTTTTCCAAGCTGTGTTTTTGCTGTGAAGCTGAAGATTTAGATCCTTAGAAAGGCAATCTGTATTTGATTACCAGTAATTAGTAGAGATTCTCCAGTCAGGGTGCTGGAAGGACCAAGATGGAATAACATGCCTTGTGACACCGCACGTGGTTACAGCAGTAATTATTACAGGCCTTGCCCTGCTAGGGAGCATGCTGGGCAAGGAAAGTTTTTATTCTGAATTACAAAGGCTCTCTGCTCCCCAGAAATACGGGAACAGTTTCTGAAGAAACCTAAACCAAACATAATCTGTACTATTTCCTGCCCCTTCTTTGTCTGCTGCATTTTCCCTCTCAGTGCCAGTAGTTCAAGTCTGTGTGCTATGATTGTGATGCTGGGGCAGAAAAGCCAGGCAAATATTTCATATGCACACATGTGCACGTGCACTGAGCAAACCAGACATCCAGTATTTAGAAATAAACAGTGTAAAGAGATTTGGAAAAGCCAGCGTTCATGCCAAGATGTTTAAGAGGCATCTTGATTCAAGTAAAAGCCTCAACTCATTTCCATCTTTATTTTTTTTCACTGTTGAGTTAGTCACTTCAAATCAAAATAGATCATTTCTGTTTCCAGTTCATCAAAACAAAGTGCTTTGTCTTCTACTTAGATTTTAAGGTGCTAAATGCATCCAAATATTTTCTGTCAATAAACAAGCGTTTTACTGATATCAGAATGTTTTGTTAAAGAAGTTCTACCTTGGAAAAACTCTTCATCTTTAACTATGAGGTGCAATTGCTGAGGAAGAAAGACTCCTCCCTGCGACCCAGTGCCTGGGCTGGTGGTGTTGGAGAGACCATTCAAGAAATGTGTCTGATTCCACTGCTGTCTCCTGTCTGCATCACTCAGAGAGCTAAAATCTACAGATGCTGTAGTCTGTAAAGTGGAAACTGCTGCTCTGCAGTTCAGTAAATTTGAATTCAGTTTAGTTTTTCTCACTGATTTTCTTTGGATTCAGCAGTCATTAAAGGTGATGAGAATCTTGAATGAGATCCAGTTAGCTATCACTAAACATAGAAGTGCAAAACTGATGAAATTATTTCTTCTTAGAAATAAGAAGAAAGGAAAGGATAGTTAGAAAGGAAACCATAGTTATGTAGTGCATCTCTCCTGACATGTATGCTTGGTTGTGGGATTGTGGTTTGTCTTTGGTCATGCGGTGTATTTTTGAAGGGGAATTTGGACCAGTGGTATATACATTGCCCCGTGTGCATTCTAGTTTTATGTGTAGTGGATTTGAGTAAACATGACAGATTGGAACCAGGCAGGTTGGCTGTACTTTTACCTGCTAGTCTTAAAGAGTGGAGGCTGGGTGATGACCAGACATAACACGTTCTGCTGATCTGACTGTGCTTTTCAAGAAGGGAGCAGTTGCTTCAAAATCTGCTCTCCTAGTAGTCAGGACATCAGGAATCTAACTTCTAGTTCGGATCAGTTTGTGTCACCCATTCTCACTCTGCACACCCTGCAAACAGCTCACTGCTGATCAGGACCAGATAGTCCAAGATGGCACTTTTTTTTTTCCTTTTGCCATGCAGAGATCTCCTGCCCTCTTCATCCTCCCTCTAAGCCCCCATGCTGCTGGTGGGACTGTTCTGGGATTGCAAATATTGTTGTTTCTGGGAACCTGACGGCTGTTTTGTTGTTTGTTTTTTAAGGAGGAGAAGTTGAAGGGTAATCCTAGGACCCTCCAGTGGCCAAACATGGGGTTTTCATTGCAATCAGGGTAGGTCTCTAAGAATCCTTTACCTGCAGGAGACTGGGGGAACATCATGGCAGCATCCTTGTTTGTTTTTTGTCTTGGCACTCCTTCATAAAGATTCAGGCACCTCACTGTCCTGGAAATCTCATACAATGCCAGACCCTGGAGGGAGAAATTCTCTAATACCATGTTCCACGGCGCTGTTTGCACAGCTGCAAATGGCACATACAGAGCAGATGGCTTGCTGCTTATAGAGCAACATTAATTTTATTGATTGGCACACGATACACTGGGAAACATCTCCAAAAAAAAGAGTAACGTAGGAGAGAAGCATGAAGTGAAAGCTGTATGAGTCCTGGATTTGTACATTTGTTGCATGCAGAATGTTGTACTGAAGGAGATGATGATCATGTCTTCACTTCCCTGCATGCTTTGAAGATATCTGAGCTGAATCCTGCCGCACAGGACTTTTCATCCTGAAAGCTTGGGCTCTTCTGTGGTGCTGCTGGCAGTTATTAAAACACAAAACCCTTTCTTGCCTACAAATCTGTGTGCTTGATCTTCCCAGCCCAAATCCTACAAGTAACATGCACTTGTCCCCGGGGCAGCTTGCTCAAATAACCACAGCTCTGCCGGAAAAAGGGCTGCTTGAGCCTCAGGGAATTAGGAGGAGAGGTTGAATTATTCCCAGCATCCAAAGACCAAGAGGTTCCTTCTTCTTCAGCAAATGTTTTCAGTTCCCACTTGGTGAATTATTGCTACGGATTTTTTTTCCCTTCAGTGTTTCCATGAATGTGGTCGAGGCTCTGATCCAGGAAATGGAGGGGGGGGGGGGGAAACCTCTGAAAAATGTATCGCACCATTTCAAAACTCAAGTGGAATTAATTAAATCCAAATTTCAACAGTGTGTCCAAACTTGAGCTAGGCTCAAGATACACTTCATAAGGTTCAATTTCAAAACAATCCCTTTGCGCACATGCAGATAATTTAGGGAGATTTCTGTGTATCCAGTACAAAGCAGGAGCTGCTTGGGTACCTGAGCTTAGAGGGAAAAGGTATTATTTGTAGGCCAGCCTAGAGAAAACCTTTTTCTGCCTGATTCAGTTTCTCCTAATCCTCTGCTCAGCAAGCAACAGATTGGAAAAAGAGTCAGGAAATAGTGTTGTGGAAAGGAAAGCCAAACCATTTGAAATGGAGATGCTGTGGCTGGTACGCTCACAGCTCTGCTTGCTGGAGAAGTAAATAGAAGTGAAAGGAGGTAAGGGACAGTAGAGAAAGCATTTGTGATGTCAGCTGAAACAAAACAGTTCGATGATAAAAGCTTTTCTAATTGTGATTTCGCCAGTGAAATGAGGTTACATTGCAGCTCTCTGTCCTTCCATCAGTTAAATTAACACAATGGAACTTTCTGCATCATGGAAGACAGAATGGATTTAAAAAATAATGCTAGTAGGGTGGAGCTTTCTCAGATGTTTTTCAAAGTCCAAATGCCAAATTCTTTCCTTATTTTCATGTGTGTGTCCCAGCTAGCTGTAAGGAGGTTACACATGGGTCAGTGAGGAGCAGGACTTGCTCTCTAGTGTTGCATTTGACAAATTATTTCTGTCATGTCTTTTTATTTATTTTATTTCTTTCCTTGGGGAGGAAACTAGAGTCTCTCATTTGCTTTTGCCTTGCAGTGGTGGCCTGGAGGAAAGTTGAAGGGGATGACTCCTACATGAAAGATCAGTTCTGCCTTTTTGGTCTCTGCAAGTAGGGAAATTGTGATTTTAGAGCCTGGGAAGATTCTTCCTCACTTCTGTGAAGCAGCACCATGTGTTGTCAGTGAATTCTCTGCCTTGGCAGGGATGTTGTGGGTGGATGTCCTGAGACAGAAGTGTCTCTTTTCAATGGAATTTCAGGTGCACTGTGAGTTGATAAACTCAGTTTCAGATGAGAGTAAAGCATTCCTACCAGCTTGTTTAAATCAAGAGGAAGGAAATGGTTGCAGGTCTGCAGCCTACAAGAAGATTCACGGACTAACTTCATCATTATCAGAACAATTTTATCTGCAAATGTGAGTCATCACTACATGTAGTGTATAGCAGCAGTTGTACCTTGTGGAAATACCGTGGGCTTTTTTGATGGGGACTGCACAGTGTCTGACCAGGCTCAAATTCTAGAAGTGAAGGAAATGAATTCAGGGCTCAGATTCACTCTGATAGGGCTGGGAATCCATCCTGCTGAACTTAAAAGCAGCTAGAACTGTCAGTACAGTGTTTGATGATTTGAATGCATTTGTTCTAAAGACCTCCCAGCCAGATGCTACTCCTGCTATATTTCACACGGGGGCAGAGAGTTAACACCAAAACCTGAGCCAATTGATAACAAAAGCAGGTAAGAGCTAGCTGGCTCTGTGGCATTACATGTCTGCCTTTTCCTTGTGGCTCCAACATTGGAAAGACATTGAAACTGTGATTCAGCAGAAGTTCAGGAGCTGAACTAATCACCATGCAAGCATTACTCCCTGTGAAACAGCTACTGACAGCCTGTTTGATGCTCCAAGACTTTAGCTGGGGAATTGGTACTTCCTTCTGCATTGCATTAACAGTGTTGCAATTTATGTTGCCTGATGCCACATGGCAGCAACGTGACCTGAAACAGTACGACAAAGTTGCTTATGCAGTGTTTTTAAGTTGAAGAGAAGCCCTTTCTCCCATTTTGTTTTTCCCTCTTATCAACTGCTCAGTGAGCTTTGATGCTTTATTTTTGTAGTGCAGACTTGTCTTCTGCTTGTCTTCTGCTGGAGCTGGACCCTGCAGCATCTGGACCCAAACTGCCCAAGCAGCAAGTCTCCCAGCTCAGCCAGCACCACAAGCCAGGTAAGAGGCAGCAGAGTGCTTTGTAATGGTGGAGGAGCAGAAAGGACTGATTGCAGATTGCTGCCAATGGCACGGAGATTGCTCAGCTTTTGTCTCCCTTTTCTATGCACCCCACCAGTTTTGAAAGGACTCGATGTTTCCTAGAAAATCTTGAGCCTCTGTTCCATAGCTCCTTCACAGCTCATCCTTTCAGACTACACTCCCCTTTCGCCTTCTCTGTTTTTCTTTTCATGTCTGTTGCTTTCTTTCTCACCTCTGGAGGAGAGAGCACGTGCTGGTATTCCTTCACAAGCAGATGCATTGTCAGCCACTGTTTTTCCCTCCGAGGCACATTAAGAGTTTACATGTCCCCTGGTGCCCCCCAAGCTCTGCTTTCTGCTGCTTCATGCTGATGCTGAGGTCTCTCCTGTTTGTCTTCTGTCACTCCGCTCAGGTACCCTGCGTCTTGTTTCCTTGCACATTTTTAATGTCTTTTGGAGGTTAAAAAACAAAACACAACAAAAGAAAAACAATTATATCAATATAAGAATAGTAGTTTTGTATTCCTGTTTGACTGCTCCTGGGATGCTTTCACATGTGGCAGGCATACTCAGACAATCAATCATGTGCATCCACAGGGTGTAACTGTAAAACGGTGCCTGACAGATGAAGATGTCTCTTCCTTTTCTTCTGTGCTGTGTTTAGGATATTTTTAGAACTGCTGCTTCTGTTGTGCCAGGGCTAGTTTCCCCTCCCTGACAACCAGGCATATCCTATTGGATATGAGAAAAGCAGATAACGGTGCATCTTTTGAAAATTAAACATTAAGATCTTCTTTTTCCCTACTGTTCCTCTTTGGAGCAAGGAGGTAGACAAGGTTGACAGATGCTCATAAACATGGAATAAAGTTGGGACAGAGATGGTTTACAATACACTTGGTCTAGCAGAGCATAATCTCAGATGGTTCAGTTCATGGGGCACAGTGTGAACAGGTGGGCAGTAACCAGCCTGTTGTTCTCTGTAGAGACTGCTGAGCAGGTACTGCTTCCAGTGAGCGTGCTGAAGGGGAACACTCTGGAAAACTCATATAGCAAGAGCACGTGCTGCAGCTGTGAGTGCTGGGGCATGGAACTGCCAAGTACAGGAGCACTGATTTGCCTGTTTGTGTCTCTCTTCTGTCTGACTAAAAGATTTCATGCCACTGCTCTCTGCAGTTCTCACTGTCCAGCCCAGATACTCCAAGTCCTCTCTGACATTCTGACTTGCTTCTCACATCTTTTTTCACTTTCAATATCCTCTATTTCCCTGCATTATGAGCACATGTTCTTCTACCCAAGGCTTACTACATGCATAGGTGGGATTCATCCTCTATACAAAAGGCCTCATGAAATTAGGGCACTTTAAGAGGACATGTTAGACAGCCACTCCAATATGAAACTGAACCTGCTGGGTGTGATAGCACACTTTGTTTTATTCTACATTACAGTTTTTAGAATGTTAATTGCTTGTGTCCCATAGGTTGTACAAGCCGGGCAAGAGGCATGATGGACAGGGTTTTGCATTACATGTTCTCCATACTGTAATTAAACTAGGGCCCAGTGCAATTCATCATCTTCCCCAGCATTAGAACCCCTTCTGGGATCTTTTCAACCTACCTCCCTTGTATACAGCCAGCCCGAGAGAAAGGACCTCAACAGGCAGGGAGGATCCAGGCAGCAGACATTTCTGCTTTATGCAATAGGCAAACATGGAAGTAAATAACATGTGTAGCTTTGCTATTAAGCTTGATCTTGTTAGGGGGCAATAAATGTTCTCTGTGATCATTTTTCTTGTAGGATATCAACAGGGGATAAAATTGTGGCTCTGGCTTTGCTCTTCCTGTTCATTAGTGCTTCATGCCCTCAATCTGTGGCTGTTTGCCATGACAGCTGCATGTCCCCCATTTCCTTCAGAGTCATTTTGCATGATAGATGCTGGCAGCTCTTGGGTTTTGCTTGTCCCTTCCCCTTTGCTCCCTTCTCACTTCTACAAAACTAACTTTGCAGCAAATTGTGTCTAATATAAATGGAATGGTTTGGGCAAGATACCTGTTTGCTGGAAAGAGAAATCAGAAACATCTGGCATTCATTGACTTTTAAAGGCAGAGAAATGACACAACTGAAATGCAAATACGGAGGATTTCCAACTACTTCTAGAGGGATGTTATTTTAGTAAATTAAACTCAGATAGATTTGTTCTAATTGCCCCTAGCCATAGCTCAGAATATAGCATAGACTGGGCTACTCATGTGATTATATACCATGAACAAACTAGCTTTGTTTCTTCAGACCCGTATTTTTCATCTCTGCTCATCTGCCTTTGTCTTCTCTGCACAAGATGGCTGCTTTAAGTCCTGAGAACACTACTGGAGCAACCCCCTGAGTCTTTATTCTCCATGTTTCTGCTGAAAAAAAGCTGCTGTATCACAGCCAGAGTCAGGTATTTATGCAGTGTCTAGGGGAACTTGAGCTGGGGGCAGAAAAAGCATTTGCCTCACCCCCCACTTCTAGGCTGATTTCCAACGGGAGATCCAGTGAATCACTTAGTCTGGTTATCTGGGCATGCAGGTGGGAATGAGACAGATGCTTCCTCTGTCCAGCCAGAGGCAGCTGGCCTGGCAACGTGGTGCAGAGGAGCTGAGTGGTGGCCTGATGGCCTAGAGCTGCAAGGCACTGATCAGTAGTTAAAGAACAAAAGCCAGCCCTCTATCACACTTCAAAACAGTAGAGCTTTATTTAAACTTGAAGAGAAGAAATGAGTCTTTGGCCTTATGTGGGGAGAGGAGACTGTGCTTCTAGCTGCCAGTAGTGCATACTTTCTAATTCAAGAAGGAGCAGTAAGGCAGATCCCAAAGACAGCAGCAGGCGCAAGCCCAAAAAAATCCTGGCTTTGCCCATGGAGAGACTGAGAAGTTGGATCCTCTAAAACAGAGGCTACTTTATGAGTAGTCAGAAACTGGGCCACACACAAATCGGGTGTACGAGGGTAGCAGGGCACGACTGTATTTCTTTTGCTGAGGGATCTCCTGGCAGGTCAGCAAGTAATAGAGCACACTGCAATGTCTCCCTTATTCGTACACAACAGGTTTTAAACTCCCCACATCCCCAGCAGTGGCAACGTCCAGATGGATGTGAACCCACAATTTTCTGCAGCACAGGTGTATGTGAGGAGATATCTCCCCTCACAGCCTTCCCCATGTTTCTCCCACTGCCCTCTTTGCCATTCCTGGCTGGATTCTCTGCTCTTGGATCTTCCCCTGACAACTGAACTGATTGAAACACCTTTAATGGTTTAATCCAAGTTGTCCTTCAGTTCCACAGCCCTCTCAGTTGTGGGATACTGCAGATACTTCAGGACTTTTTTTTCCCCCATCCTTGAATCTTATAGTAGAAACCTTAAATAATTTTTCCTCAAAGTAACCCATGTAAAAAACATTATGTCTGATAAAACTGGAAGAAGTATAACGAGTTAAAAGTTGAGCTGAGAGCTGGGGGAACTAAGCAGAACAGTGTGAGCTTGGGTATCTCTGCTTGCCCATTTATTTGACGGATGAGCGAGGGGAGGACAAAGATTGGAGTGCTGTAGGGCTCTGATCCCTACTACCTGTCAGAACTAGTCGTAAACAGGATAGGGAGAGGTTGCAAAGATTTGGTCCTGTTGCCCTAAGCTCTGACCCACAGTGTCCTCCTGCCCACGCAATCTGTCGCGGTGAGAGCAGACTGTAGCAGACACTTTGCAGATGGACTCTGAGCCAAGGCTGTAAGACCCAGTTTGGCTGGTCTTCCTTACAAAGGGGAAGCATGTTTTGTTTTTCCTGGGCTGTTTTTTGCAACACCACTCACTCTTGTCTGGGAGAGATGCCAACCCCTTCCAATGCTTCTCCCCAGTGAGTGGAATAAATCTTCTTTCAACCTGTCTTGAGCTCTCAGAATAGCATCCTCAGGTATGACATGACATATTCTGTTGCCGGGCTGTCTGCTGCAGGCAATCTCCTCTTTCTTTCTCCTTAGACCTCTCCAATTTATACAGAGCCATTGGGACTGGCATGTTTTGTCCTGTTAGAGATGCCACAGGGACTTCAGGTAAGAGGAGAAAGTCTTGCTAAGGGCTCTGGCATCTGCTATGCAGTGCTAATTCCCATAGCACTAGGATGTATCTTAGAGGGCTCCTAGGCTCATCATTTCACATAGCTACCAAGCTTTTATTGACATTAGAGCACAACACATCCCATAGCTGACTTTTATCTGCAGTGGGAAACCTCATCATTTCCAATCCTTGGTTGAATTTTTGCAGACTATAAAGCAAACATGATCACAAGCCTTTCATCTTCATTTAAATGCTGACTCTGAGTAATGCCAGCCCCAAGCACAAGTACTTCAGTAGATTGGAGCAGCACTTTCTTGGCTCACCGCTCCCCTCTCAGACCCAGGCAGCCAGATATCAATCTCTGTTGCCAAACAAAACCTTGCTATGCTTTATGATGGGATAGGCTGCTCAGCACCCAACCAGTGATGAACCTCTTCTCACTCAGCAATGAGGCATTGCAGCAGATACCCTGGTTATGCCAATATGCATCTTACACAGCCTTCCATACAGACCTTCTAGAACTGCCTCAATGTAGAACCACCTTTTCCTTTAAAAAAAAAAAAAAAGTGTTTGCTTCATCCTTTCCTTTCATCCTTTCCTTCTAAGAAGCTGCATCTGGATTGCTGTTGGCCGATAGAGAAAATTGAATGATTCTTTGATGGAACTGGCTCCTAGGCTAATAACCTGTCCCAGCTGGTTTGGCATCTTGCAATTCTCTAAAAGACATCTCCTTCTCCCTTCTTCATGTTCTTGCCAAGTGAGCATTGCTGCACTGCATCCCTGATCTTTTCTGACATACCCTTTCCTGTCTTGGATTGCCCTGTCTGTGGCCAAGATACTGAACTCACTTGAACCTGGGATCAAAGAAACCTCTGGAGTTAGAGGGAAGAGAGTGTGCATAGATGCACTCCTTGGACAGCTGACTGGAACAAGCAGGTGTCTCAGAGTCCTTCCTGTCCCAGAGAAGAGAGCTTCTTTGCCTGTTGCAGCCTTGTATGGATCAGGCCAACTGCTGCATCCCAGCAGTGCCAGCTGGAGTGGCTGAGAGTGAGGGTAATTGGCCAGCTTTGAATGAGTGCCCAGCATCTTTAGAAATACATCAAGTAGACCCAGCTCAAGTTCAGTTAGAAACAGCAGTAGGAGTAAACCCTGGAGGTAGCTAGAGGCTAAGTCAGAGAAGAGCAGACATGGGCACACAGCATATGTCCTGACACACTTTCCACGGTGCCCTGAAGTTCCTTTCACCCACTCAAAGGAAACCAAAAACACCTGGAGATTTTAACTGTCCACTCAGCAGTTGTGAAATCAATCCATGTTAAATCCTATGCTATAAAATAGCAAACAAAATCCATACTTCCTTTGAGAGAGAGCAGTGCGTCTCAAAAGAAGTATTTGTGTGTGTCTGCCACATCTCTGAGCCCTCATCAAATATAAAAGGACCCACAAGGCAAAGATATTTCTAAAATACAGCACCATCTAGTGCTGCATTGCAGCACCTCATTGCAGGCAGCCTGCCTGTCCCCACCTTGGCACCCCAAAGCACTGGGGGTCCACTTCTTTCTTTCCTTCCCCGCTGTGCCTTTCAGAGTGGGCTTTGATTTGGTTCATGTGTTGGATGGCAGTGTGTTGTCTGAGTGCTGCCTGAGCAAGTCTCTCTGTGTACTTGCAGCATTCCAGCAGCCTCTTGCATAATTCATGGAGAAATTCTGTCAAAACTTCATCCAAACCCCAAATCATATGCGAAATGCAGCTGGAACCCATCTTTGCAGATTAGAGCCATTGCAAACATTCCTTCCCCCTGCTCCACCACACCTTGTATTCCTGAGCAGTAAAATGAAGGCCGGCAGATTTTCTCGTTGCGCAGAAATGCTGCTGCTGAGTGACGCAAATAGGGCTGGTTATGCGAGCAGCAGCTGTGACCCAGTGCTCCATAGAAACACAAAGGGGGTGGACTATTGCTGAAGGCCTGTGGTGGGTAAGAGAGGTAGTACCAGCAAGTTCAAGTTCACGATTTAAAGCTATGCATTTGTACTGGGGAAAAAATCCCTGACAGGATTGAAAGCTGCTGGTCTAAAGTATCTCTTTAAGTGGGATTAGAGCTGCTGCAAACTCCACCTTTTAGGTGTGCAAATTGTTTGACCAAAAGCAAAGCAAGCTAATGATTATGGAGTTAATTTCACCTAGCTTTTCACCACCTCATCATAAAAACCAACCTTACCATGCTTTTTTTTTTTTTCTTACACAAAATTCAGAGTTTCAAATTAAAAACAAATTCTTCTCAAGTTGTATCTAGAACTTATGTAACTTAATTCACAACAGAGTAACAGAGCACTAATAGCTCCTGTTAATCAGAGCAACCTTTAAATCCCAGCACTTCACCCTTTCAATCTCAGGCACTAGGAGGTGAAACCCTTGGGCTGTGGGAGTGAGGAGGGGGCAAACAGTAAAGCAGTAAATGCTTGCAGTATTGCCATCTGATTGACTTACTGTGCAGGCAGGTTTCCTCCTGCTTTTCCAAGGTAAAGGAATGTTGTGTGAAGACAGCATAGTTTGGAAGTAATTTTGCATGATGTATGTTGTACTTGGGGTAGAAAAGGTTTGTTCTGTGGTAATATTACTATGGGAGATGATGTTGTAGGAAAGTTCTTTTCGCAGGCAAGTACACAATGTTTTCTCATGTCTATTCAACTACTTAACCTGAAAGACAGCACGTTGTTTCTTTGTACCAGACTTTGTTATTTCCAGATTCCAGGAGGATAAAACCAATGTCACCATGAAGGTGAGAAAATTTGGAAGTAGAACTGCTAACCGTGTACAAGAAGGGAAGAGTTCCCTTGTGACATTCACACAACCATGTAGTTTGGAGCTAACCACAATGGCTGTAAGAATTAAATTGTCCATTTAGATTCCTTTGTTTATTAGAACACAAAAGCCAGCAGCACAGGAACTTGCTTTCCATGGCTCACAGCAAAGACAAGGTTGAGGGGTTGGTACGAACTGGTTCTCATACACAGCTGCACCTCGAAGACTCCAGGAGGTTTTCCTTTCAGAGACGGAGGCCACGGTCACAAATGGTGCAGACCCATAAATCCAGATGGTCACAGCCTTCTGCCACCCATCCATCAGGCAACATGTTCTGTAGGAGCCATGCCACATGCATCTCCCTTTGGTCTCACCTCCACATGGCAAATGAGTCTCTCACTGATTTTTTTTCACTCTGTTCTCTCATAAACAGTGTCTGCCCAGCTATATCCAGCCCTGAAGGATTGAAGTTCCCAGTGGCAGACCAGGCCACACAGCAGCTTCCATGTGTGGGTGCTCCCTGCAAGTCCTTCTCAATGGCAGTCTGAATTCAGCTGTTCACAAACACAAAGTTGTGGTAAGCTAACATTCAAATAAAAATTGTTGGTAAGGCATACCTCTGCATAAGCTTCCTTAGCACTGTCTTGGCCTTTCTTGGGTCAATGTTCTTTATGTTTGCTTCCAGAGTTTTTATTTCCACTCCTGCCAAACTAATTGTAAATGTCTTAGCTGAGGCATCTTTCAGGTTCTGTCGTTTGCTAAGCAACCAAATGTCCATACATTTCCATAGGGGTCTGTAAACATCCCATGGCACATTCTCCTAATTAGAAAACAATGTCTATAGTTGTGTTTATATTGCTACATTTATTAGAAAGATAAAAGGCCAGGGTGGTTTTGTGTGCAACCTGAGATTATTCATTTCTGTGCTGTTTGGAGAGGGTTTTTAGTTGATTTTTAAGAAATGTATCTTGGGGGTTCCTTGGTTACTGAATCAACACAAGCAGAGAGTTTACAGCGAGCTATTGTATGAAATTACAGATCATATGTTACCTGTGAATTTTCCCTATGTTTGTTCAATTCCAAGGAAAAAAATTGCAAGGCTTCAGCAATGAGCCCCTACCTGGGAGACACAACTTGTGGTGGAGCTGTAAGTTTCACATCAGTTGGGCAGAGCTGGTAAAATGTGTCTTAAAGTCAACAAATAGTTGCATAAAGGAGAATCAGAGGTTTCCCAAATTTCTAGGGCGATTCCTCATTTCTTAGAAACCTAAAGAGAGAATCTAACAGGCCATCACTTCTACTCCTCCATGTAACGCAGAGCCTAGCAGTAAAAATCGATTCCAGATCAATGCATTTTGAATTGAATGTGTGTCTGGGAAAGGAGTCTGGTCTCGCTTCAGAGGTAGTCAGCAGTGAAGAGCAGATTACCTTAATGCATTGCTCCAGTTGTTGGAAATCTTCACATCAGGCCACAGCCACCAGATCTCGTTTGTATCTCTTGTCTGCCAGAATGAAAATCCTAAGATCAGTTTTATTCCCAGTATTTCTGCTTCGAGAGGATATAAGAACATTCTATAACAGGAAGAGTAAGTTGCAGTCCTGGTTACTTCTGCCTGAAAGCTATTTTGCAACCTTGTAAGTAATCTCGTGGTCCTTTGAAGCTTTTCCAGTCTATCAACATGCTCTGAACGGTGGGCTCAGAGTTGCACACCTCCAAATGCAAAAGGTGAAACCACTCAGTGTTACTGATGAAATCCCACTGTAGAGTCACAGAACTGTTGTCTGGAGGGACCATTTTTGAACACATGTTATAACCATTGGTTGTCCTGCAGGGTAAGGTAGACTTAAGTTCCTTTCACAGTCCTGCCCTGGCTCCTGCCGCCCTCACAGATGGCTGAAGGCTGTAGAATGGAGAACTCAGAGGACTGTGGTGTCTATGAGTCCTCATTTTGTTAGTCATGAAGGGCACAGACGTGCAGCACCGAGCCTCTCTGCTGGGCTGCAAAAGGAAGAGCTTGATTCGGTGCTAACACTTAAGCAAATAGTGCTCTGACCCACCAATTAATAGAGCAGCCCTTCTTGCTTATTTTTTTTCCCAGCATTTAAACTGCAGCACATTCTGCTTGTGTAAAAAGGCTGCTGTTTGGAGTGTGCTGGAATCAGGTGGTGAGCATACCAACAGCCAGACAGGATACTGTGCTTCCTGTGAGAGTAAACACTGAAAGTCATGCAAAGCATCTTTCATTCTGGCTTGGCTGCAACCACCAGTACAGCCGCTGGAAAGGAAGGGACTTCACAGAGACAGAGAGATTATTCTCTTCTGGCTTGGAGGCTACCTGGCCTTTTAATCATAATTGAAAGCCTGTATTTTTTAAGATTGCTTGCTTTGTTGGCAGAATGCACACCTACAAGCCTCCATTTTCTGGGAGCCTGCTGAGAGGTCTGACACGTAGGAATACAGCTATTGTGTGGATGCTCTTAAGTTTGTGGGCAAGACTGCAGCTTGGGAGGATTGAAGGAGCTCTTGGACTTATCCCAAGTCTGTGTTCAAACATAAAGTAAAAGAGAAATGTGCAACTAAGAAACAGTCCAGATTTGCCTTCAGAAATTCCCTGCTGGATAGTCTCTCTTAATAACTCTGAAGTACCATTACCACCAGGAAAGTGACGCTGGTTTGTCACTGGGCACTGGTTTGTTTTAAAGAAGCAGTTCAGAAAATCTTCAGGAGAATATCTAAAAGTTTCAGCAAGTTTCATATAAAGCAGAGTGGAGTTCCTGTGGCAGAAACTCCCTGACCTATTAAGTTGTCTTCAAAATTTTCAGGAACTAACCTGAAAAGCCACATTTCTCCCCAAAACTATATGGGAACCATTTGCTAGGCATTCAGAACACCTTCTGCGTGGTGTGGTTATTGACGTAAGGACGAGCTGGAACAGATACCAATGGTGTCCTTATTGTTGCATTTTACAAGCTGCATTGCTCACAGTCTTGAGGACAGAAGTCATTCGCAGCCATTCCACGTGGTTTGCTGTCACTTCCAGCCAGTCAGAGTGAGGATGAGCACAGGAAAGCCATTGGGACCGCAGTAGCCAGCATATTCTGCAACAGGTCATTCTGATCTTCCATCATAACGTTCAGGTGTTGTATTTTACACTATTTAGAAGGCTCCCATTGGAGTTGGGCTGGAAGGAAATCAAGCACCCTGCATGAGCATGTGAGAGCTGTGTCTCAACAAATACTTTAATTTCCATGAGCAAGGGCAGTTGGAAATCTGGCCCATTACTGCTGTCTGCCTTTGCTCCCCACCTGTAGGGTAGACATGGCAGCACAGATTGGCTCATGGAAGTGTCTGGGGGGAGAAACATAACCACCACACTGGAGCAGTTCAGCTAAAACAACTCAGAAGAGTAAAGCAATTCAGTATCCACAGCCAGGTCCCAGCAGGATTTCTCCATCACCTTGTGCAGGGAGCTTTTCAGTTTTCTAACAACCAATAAGAATGAAGTGATACTATAAAAAAAGCTTGCCTTTCATACTGATATCCACATGGTCGTTGAACACATTTTCCCTAGCTGGTTTATTATCTGTGTTTCCCTCATGGGAAAATTCAGTATTTTCATTTTAACTTGCAAAATCATATTTCTATCAAACTTTGTTTAGATTATTATAGAGTCTAGCACTACTTAATGCTATTGGAGTCATTTTGGTAAACCAGACTTCATGGCTATTTTCATGAGATCCAGTGTAACTTCAGTCCAGGCTTTTGGAGAGAAATGGCTTTCAGGTCTGCCAGTTAATTTGTGAAAAGATACTACAGGGATATTTTCTGTCCATTCTGTATTTCTTCCCCAGTAAAACTACAAAGTATTCTATTAATTTCATGCCTGGAAATGTTTTAGTATTTGTTCCCTCCTGTTTAGCAATGCTTTAGGTAAAGAACAAGATATGATACCTTTTTAGCAGAGAAGGGAATAGCTTAAAAACACTGATATTTTTGGAGTATTTCCAGCTGATCTGTGCAGTATGTTTGAAGTATTTTATTGCTTCCATAGCGTTAGCAGAGATCTTTGGAGAAAAGAAGGCTTGATGAGGATATTTTGAGTATTTTGAGGTCTGTGTCCTGTGACGTGCTCTGCTCCGTGAAGTTTTCATCGTGAACCTTGATGATACAACCCCATTCTCTAGAAATGCAGATTCCAAAGTTCTATGGCAGCACAACTTGCCTTCAGTATTTCAGTGGGATGCATTTTAGCACTGAACATCCTTGTCACAGCCCAGGTGCATTGCAAAAAGTGCTTCAGGCTGTGATCTTTCTGCCTGTTGCAGCAGTAATCTCTGTAGTGCAGGTACTCTGTGGAGGGCAGAGGCAGGACGTGGACAAGCCCCAGCTGTGTTTGTGATTGGTATTGCACTAAAATATCAGGAAAATGTGATAATTCTGACTCTTAGAAAACCACAAACTGTACTTTAGAACTCTGTCCCCCTGGTAAGGGGCAAACCAAGTAATGTAATCAAGTATTTGGTAAAAATAGTAATAATCACATGTTGAACAGCTTGTGAATCTTATTGGTTTGGCACCATATTGAGAAAAACTTTTTAAGTGCTGCAAAATCTGTTGGGCTTTAAACCTTTAAAACTTTTCCCATAAATTACAGCTCCATTATAATCTAGTTTTATACAAATGTTGTCTTAGTGCTTCAGAAAACTACCTGTCCTGAAATGAAACATGTGAAATTAATCTATTCCAATTCCTTTTGCATTATTCTCTTTACAAGCTGGAAATCTAACTTATCTGTATCTGATCAAGCGCCAATAATGTGAGTCTTTAAGTAAAAACTCACCCAAATTCCTGACATGGTTTAGTTTCAAGATAACCAAGTACAGATTTCCAGGGTATTCTGTAATTGATTTTGTATTTGGTGTCTGTTTATGAGATTTTTGTCATAGGAGAGTGCCCAAGGTCATTCTGAAATCACTGGTGTTGGTATTTATTTCCTAGCCATTCTCTTTCAGCTATGGGAAGATTACTGACTGCCGATTGACAAGAACTGGGATATGGTGACCTGCATACAAGGACATTCTGATAGCTTTGTTCTGGTGAAGCGAGGAGTCTGGAATTGAACTGCATGTATCACACAGCAGGGCACAGGACAGCATTTAGGACAGCATTCAGTCTCGTGTGCTGGTGCTTACCCACTTAGAGGTAAAGGATCTCCCTGCTCAGCACTGTGAAAAGACTCCCACAGCAGCCTGCTGGGCAGACATTTATTTCCTTTCCAGAGAGTATGGAGGTGGCACGTCCATGTTAAGACCAAAAGTGCAAGTCCTGCTCGGAGGCTGGGTTATGATTGCTGGACGAGGATTTTGCTGCGCCGTTCAGCCCTACCCGTGGCGGCCTGCATTCTGCAGTCTGGTTGGGTGCTATGTACAGCATGTCTTTGGGTGAGTGATTCACTTGCTCCTTGCAGTCTCCAGCTAACCCCACAGGAGCACAGCTGTTTGTACTTATATCTGTTGTTTTCTTTTTCTTTGGGGTCAACCTTTGAAACAAAATTTGCCTTGAGAAGCAGAGGGTGATGTGGGAGCCTTTCTGGTTCTGCACTTACTGGAAAGGGTACAATCATTCATATTTTGTCCAAGACTCAGTGAAATAGCTGAATGTTTTCTAGACAGCTGCCATGTCTAATCACACTTATTTGGGTCTAAGTTCTGATGGCTGATTTCCATTTCTGGGGCACTTTCATGCCATCTAATAGACACAACGTTATTTTAAAACTGTGGACATGGACAGAAATATTGCTTAAAATGAGACCGATTCTGAAACAAGGTAGCCCTATTTAGGGTTAATTATGTTATGTTAAGTTAATTATGACCCCTTGAGGGGACTTGGCATAAGAAGCCCTCAGAATATTTACCGAACTGGGACGTTAGCCCAAGGAACGCTTATTGGGCTTGAAATAAGCCCACTTCTTTTTCCTTTTTCTTTTGTTTCTTGTCTCTTTTTCTCGTTTGTTTTCAGTTTGAGAGGAACAAGCATAATTGAGTTGGCAAAGTGTTCTCGCTGACATTGATTTTTACAACATCTTCACCTTTTAGAAAAAGTTTCATATGTTATTGATTTGAAAGTTCACCGTGAATGTTTAAAGATTTGTTTCTCTCTGCTCTGGAGAGGAGAAGGAACACTGTGCAACATAGTGCAGTGTAAAGAACAGCTCAGGAGCATATGCCATGTTCATGCTTTTAAACCCTCCATCTGGGTGTGTATGTTTGCAGAATTTGTTGTTGCTGACCTGTTTCTCTCTGCAGCTATGGCACTTTTGCCAGGGACACAAGTTACCTCTGGCCTAATTTAAGTGTTTGGACTTGTGCCCACACAGAGCTCCACTCTTTAAATTGTCAAACAACTCGGGGAGGAAAAATAGCAAGTAATCTTTGGAAAGCATTCTCTTGCTTTTGGTTTTAATTAACAGCACTCAGTGATGCAAAGTCATTATCACTGTGTCATCAGAAGGACCCCCACTGCCTCTTGCAAGGTCTGATGCACCAGCTTGCATCAGAGAAAACCACCTCACATCGATATGGCAGCAGTCTTTCCCCAGAGACTGAGAGTACTCAGCTGTTAGATGTGGGGTCGCTGTATCTTTCTTGACTATTTAATTGCTGCCTGTGGAGTCCCATTCTCTCTGTGTTTTTTTTCCAAAGAAGTGTTACAATGGCACAGGACTAGACACACACTGGGCATGCTACTTACACAGACATTAGGATTTGGCTTGCTTAAGTGCTCCTCAGTTCCTGAATTTTAATTATTCATTTTCTAAAATAATGCTTCCCTTTGCAGTGAATCACTTGTGACTCTACCCCTGTTGCTGGATCTCAGGATGGACGACCTTAGAGACTTTGCAGCCCACCTAAGCCTTCCTAATTAACACATTCTCAAGTTCTCTTTGCCTCCCTACTCATGATATTTGTGGTATTTCATTGCTACATCTTGTGGCAGTCATCAGGGGACACTGCAATTGGAAATGGGGCTGTGCATTGGAGAGGTATGACATTATAACTCCTCCAATACACTGAAGTAATGGACTGGCATATGTGGATACTGGAGTTGAAAGTGACACCTGGCCTTTCAGGCTGTATGTATGTACAAAGGCATTGCCATGCACTCTCCCGGCCTCTGAGGGCCATGTTGTGTGCTGTTTTATACATACATCCCAAGTTTATTCATATTCTGGAAATCTGTGCCAGGAATGTCTACAATCTGGCATGCAGCATATTACAGCTGCGCTGCTTAAAGCAGCCAGCAAATTCCACTCTGTTCCTGTACAGAGTCCTCTTTGTAGCTGCAGGTATAGATGGGGCACAGGGATCCTTCCCTTCCTCTGTTCCCCAGACTTGCTTAGGAAGGAGGTGACCTGGAGACCTGGTAGCCAGTACTCAAAGCTGAGAAGAAGCCAGGCCACATTTCCTATGTGACTCCTCTGAAGAGGAACTGCTTCAGGTGGCAGTGTTTATAAGAAGTACATCGGAAAAGAATAGAACATGTTCTGAGAAAAAACAAAACCTGAGCACCACAGCCCCCCTAATTCACACATCTACCCAAATAGCCAGAAGCTCGAGGAGCTGCAGTGTTTTTTTAAGCTGAATAGTTCATCTCACTGGGGACCAAGGTAATTAATTGCCTCAGCAAAGAATGACATGTACTGCACACACTGCTTGCAGAAGTTGCTGATGCCCAGAAGCAAAGATAATACCACATTCCCTTTATTCTCCAGTGTCTCCCCTGAGAATTCAGATCAGACCCATTAGATCGCAACGCTGTTTCCAAGAAATGCGGCTACAACAGCATTTCTTTGGAGGTAACAAAAACAAATGGGACTCAAAAGAAAAGCAATTTACCTAGGAAAGTCTGAGAGCTCCAAACATCAGCATATCTCATCTTTCTTGGGATTTTTTATTTTTATTGTGCATTTTCTAAATGGCATTGATTCAGTCCCTGTAGATGGGCCGTGATGGCACCCATCTGGTTTTACGGTGAGGAAAATAGCTGATTGAATCGATACGCTCAACACAGCTGACTGGAGTAAATAAGAAAGGATTTGAAGGAAGCTTTGTGATCCCCCAGATGGACAAACCCACCCTCAGTGCTGCTGCAGTTGCCCAGAAGTCAGTGAAGTGACATAAAGAAGGAAGAGCGGCCAATAGATTTCTTCACAAGGCAAGCTTCCGTGCTCTCTGTCCATCACAACTTCAGCAAAGCCAGTGGTCTGGATTCTGCAGAAAAGTGGGACCATTACCCAACAGGTAAATGATTTCCACTGCTGCACTCCACGATCACACTTAATTATTCTGCATGGAGCAGTTGTCAAATAGAATAGAAAGTGGTGTGTCCCACAGGAAGGCCATCAAGGTGTAGCAGTAAGAAGTCTTGGGGGTTCAAACCTGGCAGCAAATCCTGCCTCAGATTAAACAAACTGCAGAGCTCCTGTGGAGTCCCAGGTTTTCAGCTGCAGAGGTCATGGGTTCATGTTTCTCTGCTCCAACCTTTGGAGCACAATGTGGCTGTAAAAATTCTCTGTGGAGACATTTAAAAAAAGTCCACATCACCTCTGGCAGCGATAGGGCAGCCAGAGAGTGGCAACTGATCTGTTTCTGGAAACCCACAAAGAACTTGACATGCAAGGATGGTCCCTTGGGTGGGCAGAACACTACAAGCAACAGCTCACTGCTCCCTGTGCTTGCCAGGTGTGTATCAGATTCCACAAAGCAACTGGCAGCCTGTAATCATTCCAGCAACTTACCCTTGAGCTGATAATTGAAAGTAAGGAACAGAACTTAAAAAAAAATGCCTGTTTTATTTTGATGTCTTTATTCTTCATGTTCAGACAATACACAGAGTCTTTCAGACCCCTGCTTTCTTTCAAAGCCTGTATCAATCACAGCTATAAAGTTATTGTCCTAGGAGTGTTTTTCCCAAGCAGCAGGAAAGTTATTTTCTTAGGCACCTCATTCTCACTTCATATTCTTGGGAGCTACTTAAGAGAAGGATCTGTTAGCTTTATGACAATTCCCTTTACTTATGTGCAGGGATGGCAGTTTTCAGTTTATCCCCTTGAAACATTGTGCACTGAGTGTTTCAGGAATAGATCTGCAAGCAGAAATGCTAGTGCAAGATTTACTCCAAGCCATCCCCAGGGCTGTTCATCTCCCAGCTTTCCCTCCTGCAGCTCAGATACCTTCCTACAAATCCAACCTCCCCATGCACCTTGGGGTTTATCTTCTGCCCTTGCTGCACTGCCCATAAAGCCCACTTGCTGTATGATATCTGAGAAAACACAAAAATGAGTTGGTATAGTTTAGTAATACCTATTTCTCCCCTAGAAAATACTTGGCTCTGGGAAGAGACGTGGAGGAAATGTCTGACAGATTTTTGTGACAGAGAGCAGCGCTCCCTTGGTGAGGAAGGAGTGATGGACGTCCTCACTGTGGCCAGTTCTGGTTAAGGTTAGTCTCCACTTGCTTCATATGGCCTTTTGCTACTGAATTTGTACTCTGTGTCTCTGTTTGGAGCATTTGGCTCAGCATTCAGATAATATATCTGCTTTTAAATGATGAATTAAATTAGAAATTCTATTTCTGCCTGCATACTAAGGAGGGGCAAGGAAGGAGGCTTCCAAACTCTGGTAGTATTTTAGTGCAGTGTGTGATCTGGAGCAAAACAGGCTGCCTCTCCACACTTCGATAGATCACACTTGAACAAAGTGGACTCTTAATGCCTACTTGCCCACAGAGACATTAAAAAATGTAAAAAGTATTTGTAAATTAAAATGCTAGAGTGGAAGTCTCTGGTATGTGTAATTGTAGAGTATCATATTAAGTAGGAAAGAAAACTGTCTGGGGAGTTCCTGGCGTTACATGAAGCCTAGCTTGTCTAACTTAAATAGATTTAATAAGCTCTGCTAGTATTAAAGAAAGGTGGCATTTAGGCATATTTATTTGAATTTACATAAGCATGTATCAAAGGAAAAAGAATCCAAGCTCTCGGTTTCTTCAGTCTAGTGTTTGATACTTCACCCCTTCCAGCGTATCATAAAGTTCCTTTTCATAGCCTCAGAATAACACGTGGAGTTGAGTGAAAGGAGCTCAGCTTGTTACTCTGTGTGACTGTCTGGAGGCTCAAAGTGGAGCTCTGTCTGTATTTGATCGATTTTTCCATGTTCGTGTTGTGTCTGACACTCCAGTGCTGTTAGAAAGATGAATGGCAAAACCTGACAGAACAGGTCTCTTTATTTGGTCTTACTTCTCAGGATGAAGCAGTGACTTTGATGCAGGCAGAGGAGACTGCAACCTTGGGAACAAAACAAGTGACCGTGCAGTGGTTGATGTGACCGAGGAACCATTTCGTGCCTTTGAGCTTCATTTAAGTTCTTCATATGAATAAGAGCAAAAATGTGTGCTATGTACTGAAGCAGCAGCAAGTTCAGTCCAGAAAGCCCTGCCCTAATTGGAATTAAACTTCTGATGAATGGCATGTAGGTAAGACTTACATGTTGGCCTGCCTGAATTATGTCATGTCCCTGAGAATGAAAGATACAGCTCTCTTTCTCTCAATTGGAAATCAGTTTATTCTCCCTCTGTCTTATTGGAAGAATGGGTCTGCTCATCTTGCTCCCCTCTGCTTTTGCATGAAGCTATATTTGTTCTGACAGCAAGTGTTATGCTCCAAAGGTCAACCCTTAAAACAGCCAGCTACATCTTGGATGACACAACCTCATCCTAAAAGCTATGAGGAGCCCTTGGCAATTGCAGCCAGAATCTAAAGGGCAGTCTGTGGTCAGAAACAAGAACTTTTTTTTGCTAATACAAGCTACAGTCAATTCTACCAGCTGTTTCCAGACTTTAGCAAGTGTTTCCTACTCAAATGGAGAGAATGGTTGATGGGAACTGGACTAGATACAGCCATTCTGTCGAATGGTCCAAAGTTACAACCACAGCAAAGTTGGAAAAGATGCTGGATGTCTCCAATGCACTATGTACCAAAGTGCCAGATGTTTAGGATCCCTTAAGTCATCTAACAGGCCTTCTCAAGGCAATGTTACTCTTGAGTATCTTGGTTCTCCTGTAAAAGCATTAAAGTGAGCTAATTTTAACTTTGAATTATGAGATTTTCTCCAACAGAAGGTGTCCCTGAGGACACCAGGGTAGATTTGATTTCCAAAACGTTGCCTTTGTATATTTTAAACGGAGCATCTGGATGAAGTTCTAATGGCCAGTTCAGACTGTCTGATTTATAGCAACAGCTGTTCACCTTTGTAGATGGGGAGATTCACAGAGATACAGAACACATTTATGAACTTGATATTCTGTGCCAAAGGTCAGGGTTTTTTGCCTCAGTTTTGTGCAGGTGTAAATCTAGATAGGCTCCCGTGAAGTCAGTGAAATTGCTCCATGAAAGGCATGGAAATTGGAGTTACAGGAAATAGCAGATCAGTTCTTTCTTTCTCAAGTAGACTGAATTTTAGAACCCACAGCAAATGGAAAGTGGTTAGGGTTGAAAAATACACTGGAGTAGTGATAGGGTGTACCTCTGAGTGATGGGGAAAATGTTAATTCCTTCAAGGGGAGCGACTTCTTCACATGGCTTTCAGATGGCAATCAGAAAGCCCAGCATTAGGAAGCAGAAAAAATGAAAGAATAATAACAGGGAAGGTATCTTGGATGTCCTGTTGTACCTTTGTAATATTTTAATTCCCATTTCAAAAGGTAAAGCTTCTACTGCGTGAAACTTCATGCAAGTATTTCTTTAGTAGTTGATGATTCCAAATTTAAAAGGGGCTGGGGGAGAACACCTGCTTTTGGACAAGTGTATCAGCACTCTTTTCATCTTTGTAGCTTTTTATTATTATTTTTTTCCTTTTCCCCAATAAAAAAATAATGCTTCAGATTTCTCCATGACACTTTTTTGTTTGAGTTGAGCAGATACTTTCTGCTTTCAAAATAATAAATGTTTTGACAAGAATAAAAGAAGTTAAGTGCCTCCAGATCCTACACAAGATCCAACCTAAACTTATCTTTGGGGACTCGGTTATGCTTTCCTAAGACAAAGTGTTTCTGGAGCATTAGAAGCCAAGTGAAGAATCAAGGCCATATAACTTTATTATTACCAAATCTGCTGTGTTTCACACATTCACACTCTCTTCTCTTTCAGCTACTCAATCCACCTCTATGTTTTCCATAAAATACTCTCAAAGCTGGGCTGCTGGTGCCAGCTCTGATCTAAAAAGCTGTGACGATTGAGAGTCCTCCATACTCCACCAAATGGAACAAATAACATTATTAATTCAGTATGCAGTTGTCTGGCTTACTACACTAAGCTTAATAGTTAATACAATGCAATGGAGCCTTATTTCCAGCTACTGGATGCCTTCCCTTAAATTGCCTCTTCAGCCATCAGGCTGCGATAGCTTTGTTTGAAGCATTGTTCCACCTGAACTACAGAAAGGAAATTCCCCACTAAAGCTGAGATATTAGAAACTGTTTTGCTTTCCCAGGTGGAGGCTTCCAGGGCTCCAGACCACATCAGGAGCACAGGTGTAGGTGTTGGGTTTGTTTGGGTGGCTTTTTTTGCCTTGCTGACTCATGCCCTAACTGTGATAACTCAGGCTCTCTCCTGACTGCATGAGAAGTGTTGTTGCTCATTTGGTTTACCCTGGCAGCACGGTCCTGAGCAGAGGAACAGGGGCAGAAGGTGCCTGAATGCCACTGACATAAATGTAAACTCCCAGAGGATCAGCTAGAGGTAATGCTGTTGCTTTGCATGGATCTTTGTCTGACATAGTGGTAAGGTGCAGTCAAGATGTGGAGCTAAGTCAGAGACCTGGGATTCTGCCCAAATGAAAACCAATGGGATGAATTCACCCTGGTACCTTTTAAGCAGGCTGAATACAAAGCAAATAGTTCAGAGCCAGCTACTGTGTTTCAAAGCCTTCAGCTTTATTCGTCTAAAATATTCCAGCATAAGAAAAAGCAATTAAGGACTATTCTCTGCTTTGTCTGGTTTAGATCTTAAACTCCTGAGGGCAGGGGCTGCCTTGCAGTGCCTGTTGCTGTGGCCTTAATGTTGATCCAGCCCATTCAGTGCAGAGATAATAAAAAAAAGAGCTCTTTGCAGCAGTTTTGTATTGCTCTGTAGGTCTGGGCAACAAGAGGTCATCTTGTGTAAGGTTTCAGTGATTTGGCTGATGAAGCACCTGATGATGGAGTTTTGTAGCCAATGCTGCTGGTGAGTTGCTATTAGCAGAGACCTAATCTGAATACAAATATCTGTGGAAACAGTTTACTGCACCTGGCAAGTTTGTGCTGGAACTTCTCATCCAATCCAGGGATCGAAGCAGGATGATTTACGGGATCTTCCTGGCCAATAAGCAGTATCTTATTGGAAAGGTTTGAAATTCTACCTAAAATCACAGAGTGAAAGGTTTTTAAATTTGCCAGGAAGTTATTTTCAGGGTTGACCTGGATTTGCACAAAACAGCACAAAGGAGAGAACAGCTGGAGGCATTAAGTGGGAAGAGAACAGCATCTGACAGATTCTCATGGGGATTATTATTATTTTTTAAGGGAGGTGAATGGCATATTGTTGCCTCAAATATCTGACAAACAGAGGAAGGCAGGGAGCTAGCAGCTGGCAAGGCAGCCAGGTCCAGTGTGCGCTGGCATAAGTGGGGTCCAAACCACTGGGCCTCTTGCAGAAAAGGATTTTGCCACTGGTTATCCTGGGATGAGGCTGTGACATGAACTCTCGTGTCTAAACATGACTGCATTGCTTATCTCTGCTGGACGCCCATGTCTGCTGTCAAGGCAAATATTGTTCTTAACATGGATCTGCCAGAACTTCATGCTTTGACAAGTGTATTTTAAATGTCCTAGGCAAGATTCTTCATGCAGAGAAAGAGGATTTGAGGGATGTGGCCACCGGTAATACAGAAATCCATCCGAATTTCAACCCAGGGCATACCTGGGAAGCATAAGCATGATGCAACGTTCTTTGTGCGTGGCTTGTTCCTAGATTGGACTCTGGAAAAAACAGCATCCCTCATTGCTGCCAGTTTTCCACTACAGTCCCTCTTATGTCCCCCTTTCCTCTGCTGTCTGCATTTCTAGCCCCAAAATGCAGTCAGGGCCAGAATTGTTCCAGAAGTACAATGTGTTCATGTATTTCTTTGGATTGGAGATGGTAGGATGGTGCCACATTTTTCCCAAATATTGAGAGTTTTCCAGCTAGTTCTGGCTGGTCGCTTTGCTGAGGTCAAAACATTGGCTGAGGCAAACTTGAAGATGTTTTGTGCCATTTCTCAGTGAGTGTGGTTGGTTGTTTATCTTTCAAACATCAGCACTTCCTGCATCAGCACAAGATTTTCTCTAGGAAACATAAAAACACCTTTTCATTTTGGCCTTTGGAAACCTTTTGAAGTCTTCCAGCTGAAAAATAGCAAGGTCCCCAGGCTTGAGCATTTGTGGATACTTTGCAACTGTTAAGGGCTAAAAAGCAAATGAAAGTCCTGGGATCTGTGCTAGGAGGGTGCAATAAGAGATGAATGTGCAACAGCAAATTGCTTTAAGCCCTTCCCTACTATTTTCCAGAAGAGTCTTGATGGAAAATTGTCTTCTCAGCCCCGAGTGTGAAAAAGCACTGCTTTGTGTTGCCTTTTCTTTTAGTAACTTTAGTGTCAAATGTATTGGTTACACATTGGACACGTTTTTAATGCTCCATGGTGTATATTCTTCCAATAGGAAAAACCACCTAGAGCATCAGCTGTGTCTTTCTTCTCTCTCCACAAAGACCTATGGGGCATCCTGCATCCCTGTAAGAAAGGAGCTTTGACCTTTTGTCTGTTCTGACTGGATTTCTTTTTGCAGACCTTGCCTGACATTGCTGTCCATTTCAAGAGATACTTTCCTGTCTACTTTGCCTGTCTAAGGCACCAACATCCAGCTTCTACTTTTGGTTGCTCCCATAGGTGCTTTGGATCCAGCCTGGTAAATGGTATATGGTATATGCCTTTTAAATGGCATATAGCACAGAGTCTGAATTAAGATCATGGACAAGTTTGATCAGCATCAGAGCTTAGGTGCCTATTCCCTTGGTTTAGCACATTTGCCAGCGTACAGCAGCCAGACACGATCCCTTCCTGCACTCACACACACAGACAATCAGACATTTTAGTAAACCTTTCTTTGCACAGCATTTCAATAATATCCTTAGTGTTAAGGGCATTTGGTTTTGTATCTGTTCAAAAGGGGATGCTGCAGGCTTAGTCACCCATTTAGCTCTTAGCTTTGCTCACTGGAGCTGTCTCAGAGGATGAGCTTGCTGAGCTGCCCAGATGTCACCCCACAAGTGCCCTTCTCTTGGGCTGGGGGAACAGGGGTGCAGGGAGCCTGCCTCTCTGAGGGGCCCTGGACTGGAAGGTAACATGAGCGGGGCACAGCCCTCCATCCAGCAGTGCAGTGTTTGGGAGGACTTCTCTCTCCTCAGGGGCTGCTCTGCTCTCTTCATCCGCTCTCTGACATGATCCTATATCCAGACTCTTTAGAAGAGGAAAAAAAGAAGCAAAACTGAAAGCTGCTATTTTTAAACCTTCCCTTTGGCTGTCTTTGCAGCGCTGCCTTCCTCCCCGCGTTTCAAACAGTGTTCTTTTGAGAACTAGGCACCAGGGCCCTGCGGTTTCCTGGTACTTGGAACATAAAATCTCCTAATTCTTCTCTCGCAGCAAGCTTCAGAGGCCGGGGAGTGATTGATATTTTCTATCGCTTCATTAATAGTCACAGCACAGTAGTTTTCTAATCTGTTTTTGCACCGCTTTTTATTCTGAATAATTTGTCTTTCAAATTTTCTCAGCCCTCCGTGTCACACAAAGCAAATGCTGTTTGCTCCCCTCCTGCCTTTTAACCACTGGGTTGGGACCTTCGGGAGCTGCTGAGGCAAAGCGGCCCAAGAGATGGGAAGCTGGGACCTGCCTCGTGGAGCCTCCTCATGTGTGCTTATAGCACAGCTTGGCAAATATACTTGGGATATGTCCCAGAATTGGATAAATTGGAAGTAACTGCTACAAGGGAAGTCTCCCCTTATCTCTCTGCTGACTGATATCAGGATCCGTGGTGTAAGTGTTGCTGTTGCAAAAGATAAATGTAAGCCGTGCATAAGGCAACCTGCAATCTATTCAGGCAAAGGGGAAGAAATGTGAGTGTTGAAGTTATTGAGAGTCTGAGGCCTACTTCTGGTGGCAAACGAGGTGCTCAGGGCACAGGAGAAAATCAAACAAAAAGGATCCAGGGAAAACCTGGGGCATCTGCTGCTGATCGTGTCTTTCCCAGCACATCTCCAGGAGCGAAGCTCTCCAGGATAAAGATAGAAAACTGCAATGGATCCATTTGCCAAGAGGCTTGGGCATCATCCCATGAGATGTGGAGAAAAGCAGAACAAGGGCTAGCTGTTGTGAAGCTGTGAACTGGCTCAGCTCTGCCACACTGTCTGAGCTATGTCTCTTCATTGCCTTTTGACCACCTGGACCCTTACCTGTAGGTGGGCTGTCTCCCTGGGCTAAACAGCTCACTGTGCTCTGGCATGTCTGCATTATTCCTGAACGTTCTGTACACTGTTTTTTCATTCAACCCAACTTGGAAAAAGGCAGACAGGCAGTAGTCTGAACACCCCAAGAGTCTGTATTTGCTTTGTTCCTTATGTGTTCCAGCACAACCTGCTCTCCTGTGATTTAAAACAATGTGTCTTTGTGCTTATCTTCTGGGCTTGGCAAGGCGATTTTTACCTTTTCGTTTTTGTATCAACAGGAGAAATTGCTGTCTAACTGATCCTTTGTGGACCTCTGACCAAAACCATCCAGTGCAACATATGGTAAGTCATTCAACCTTTTTTAAACTCGGAGCCTCAACTGCAGCTATTTGTGGGTGGAAATTGGCATATCAGTAGTTCCTTTTTGATTGCAAAAATGATGAATTCTGGATTATGTTATTATGACAACTCAGTTTGGGTTTCTCTAGCCTTTCCTTACATTACAAGGCCTTTGACTTTACATTTATTGCTTCTGGTGCCTGCCATAGCAGCTTAGCAGTGCGGCATGTTAGCAAGGGAAGAATTTCAGCCGTGCTCCCCTTGCTCCAAAATACACATGTCCTTATTACTTATATTAAAGAAGGTTTGTGCCCTGATGTTACACATGGCAACAGCTTGTGAGGAAGTAGCTTTGGGTCATCCTGCATTTCACTGGATTGTTGGAGCCATTCTTACTCATGTCATCCTCTGAAGAAAAGAGGGGTAAGACAGTAGATAAGGCCATCCACAGCTGACTGCCTGTAGGAGATAACAGTTGGGATTTATTACAGCCTCAACCATTGTGAGAGGTACAGCATAGAACGGTGGAGACAAAGTGGAGTGAAATTGTGCTGGCATTCTCTGTGCTAGTCCAAACAGGAGGGCTGGTATTGCTACACCAGCAGATTTCTATCAGTGCAATGACAAAGCTTTCAGACCCAGCCTATGGAGTTGTTGCATGACAGATTGTTGCACCATCACTTCAGCACTTGTGTGCTGTACTTTCAGCACAGGTTTAGGACGTAAAACCTGACTGTTTGAATCATATGAATTTTCTCTGTGTATGTATTTCTGGAATCTTGAGAAGAGTTGCTGCGTATTGCAGAGATTGCAGGGAAGCTGTGGATACCCTCTGAAAGGTGGAACAGAGTCTGTTTGGAAGATGGAGGCAGCTTCTTCCCTCTGTAAGAACTTTCAGGCTTTTGGAAGGAGATCTCTGGTTTTGCACTCCCACTGACAAATGAAGTTTCCAGTCTGTTGGGTTGTTCGTGCAGCACCTCCTGCTAGCACCGAATGCACCATGTACATTATGCAAATGTTTTTTATTACTTCCAGATATAAGCTCTTCTTGTGTTTCCTTTGTGGTTAATGCAGCCCATCTGCAGTTAAAAAAAAATGATGTTCAAGTCTTCCTCTTGGTATTTTGTGTAGTGCTGCACTTGGGTTAACACTATAAATACGTTCCTCTTGCTTTCCACCTGCTTTCCCCCACGTTCGGAGCTTTGGAGTTTCTTAGTTTTTCCAAGATACACCTATTGTCTCAAGGACTTTTATTTTGGCCGTGTGAGAGAGGAGTGACTATAAGGGGCTTAAGGAGAATAAGAAAGGTGGAGTAGAGAAGTCCATACTACAAGCAGCAGGGTGGCTTGGAGCTCTCTGGACTTCAAGGGCCACCTGCTGCAAGGAGACACAAGGAATTCTGGATCAACTGAAGTGAGGAATGCACACTTCCAAGGAGGCCTGCTGTGTTATACTGCACTAAAATGCATCCAAGTGTCTGTACAACAGTCGTCTCTCCAAATTCAGTCTTGCAGCAGCCAAGGAAGAGGGAGGTGTTCAAATGCAGCTGTACTGCCTGACAGTTTTTCTGGTTTTGACACAGCCTTTTGCAGGAATAGCTGTAAAGAATGGATTGTTCTTTAACCTAGGCTTATACAACAAGGAGCTATAAGGAACAACTGCAGTTCCTTACGCTGCAATTACACCTCGTAATGGACTGGAGCTGGGAGCAAGCCCAGCAGCTCGGATAAGGGATGCCAGGCTAGAAGCAAGAATGACAGACCCTTGCTCCTTTTCCAGCTCTCAAACTTTCTTTTCAGTGCAGTGTTCTGGGAGCACCTCTTTGAAATACGGTGGCAAAAGTCACACGGCTCAAAGGGTGCAAACCAAACCCTGGTAGAGGGGATGTCCTCTGCCTCCATTTCTTACTTGTGTTGAACTGGGCACAATGTGATTCTATGGTAGCTCATGCACACGGTGTCTTGTGTTCATTCTAGAGTCTCAACAAAGGAAATCTGTGGGCTTTTTGCTTTGGAGGAGTGGGGAATTTGCATCAGTAAGGATTAGAGTCAGCAGAGTTTAAGGGCAGGGAGGATTAATTCCTCGTTTTGTGGCATTTATTGTTGATATATGTAAAGATGCTGTTGCAGGAAATTAATTGTTTGTATTGTTTGTATTGTTGCACTTGCTGACACTGTTGTTCTAATTCTCACGAATGATTCTTGGGCTAACTATTGGCAAGGGCTACGAATGGGGAATAGAACAGGGAAACCTGAATGGAGTGAGTGCAGACACTGAGTTTCTGCAACAGAAACATGTATGCCATAGCAAACCAAGAGAGAGCAAGCCTGGAGACTGCTTCTGCTGAAATCAGTGCCAGTGTTTCTTGCAAGCACCACTTTGGCCCTGGGTGCTGACACAGGCTGTATTTTGGCATCATTCATAGCAAAGGATGGTTGTTTTGGAGATCCTTCAGGTTTTTGCATATCAAACACAGCCAAAGTATTTTAGAGATGCTTTTTTTCTCCTTAAGCAAGAAAATTAACTTGTCTAGAGGTTTGAAAATTAATCATCAGTCGTAGTGCTTACATGTTACCTTCAGTAAGTTCATCAGTAAAAAAAAATCCCATCCCACCCCCCCAGCAGTTTCTTTAAGGGCTCACAATATGCCTGCACAGCCTAATGTACTGAACCTAACAACAAGCATGAGCTGTCTCTTAAAAGTAGAATGTGGAATTATCACAGACAAAACAAGACTCGGACATTGGCAAGGAAAAGCCTCCATGCCTGACTGAGCTACATTTCCTAATTGCAACCAGAGATCTTACTCTGTGTAACAGTTTAAAGGCTTTACCTTGTTTTCCAAATCCTATTAGTTTGCCTCTATGAAAAGCTATTTCCCTCTCTGTTCTTTGGTGTAAGTTACCAAATAGCAATCTTCAAACTGTCATTTCCTTTTTTTCTTTTTATTCTTCTTTTTTTTTTCCACCTGCCACCATTTCAGTTCTGTAGCCATCCTACTTTGGTGCTAATCCAGCAGAGGTGGCCACGATTCTGCAATGCTCAGAATTAGGTTAGGAAAAGGAGGTTGACCTGCCAGGAAGCTGCCTTAACCCATGGCCTTCGTCCTTCTCTCTTGGCCTCCAGGGTTTAACTCCCACACCAAGGCAGTGTGTACTGGAGTCCAGACTGTTTTGCACTTGGGGCAAAACCTTCCCTCTAACTTTCACATTCCTGCGTTTCTGAGCTCTGCCTAGCAGCAGAATTAGAATGGGCAGAATACCATGGGAAAGATGATGCTGAAAGAAGTATTTATTAACTGTCTTACCAGATGCGGAGCGGCAGAAAGCATATCCACTGCAGATCTATCAAAGCAAATTTAACAGAAGGCCATGAATCTGCAGTTTCAGCAGAGCTTCTCTGACTACGTGCTCGAGAGACGTGCTCTTGCTTAAGCGTGTTACCTCTAATGTGGGAGTTATCCCACTGAAATCATTATTTTTCCCTTCCAATTACCCTAACTGAAATTCAGAAAGGTGTTAAGAATCTAAGAGCTTAAGTTTTCAAAGGGGATTAATAGTTTGAGAAGTTTCAGGCTGGGGGGGAAGCCCGAACCTTTAGAGACAAAGTGCATTCTGTCTGGACGTTTGCTCTTTCTTGCAGTGCATGGGGCTGGTTCTGGCAAGTCGCTGGTCACTCAGACACACAGTAGGCCTTGCTTTCAAAAGGTAGAATAAATGTCATGCCCTGTTTAAGAATATGGCAAGTCCCACTGGTCAGTATGTGTGCTTATCTTTGATGATGTGCTTTCAAAGGATCTTGGATAAGAACCAAGAGGAGAGCTTTGAAAATTCACTCGTACAGAATAATTGTATTTATCTTGTCAGTTCTCACTGTGTCATCTTAAAGAAGAATGAATAAGCAGTTGAAATTCTTATGGTAACCTTTCACTGTTCAGTACCAGGAGGTGAGGGGACATGTGCCTTGACAGACATCAGGTATGTCTTGATGGTGGTGGGAGTGCTTTGTTTCGTTTTTAAGCTTGACAGTAGCAGGGGGGAAGAAGTTAAAATGCAATCATTCTGAGTCAGATGGTAAGGCCTAGAAAAACAGATGTGGGGTGTGAGCCATGAGCCAAGATCAACTCCACAGAACTTAACAGATTAGTCCTACAAAAACTGGAAGGGGGAAAAAATGAGCCAGTCAACGGTGTGATGGATGGGAGCAAGGAAATAGCTCAGAACCGTCAAACAACAACTGCATCTGCAGCTCAAAAATGTTAACTTTCTGGTCCCGTTATTTTGCCGTGGATAGGAAATTCTTTCAGTGCTATCTGCCCTAGCCAGCCAAGCTGCCCATATCCAAACAAGCACTGGTTCTCCTGGCATTTCCTTGTTATCATCAGTGTGAATCTGACCACATTCTAGAACCACTTCCCACAGCAAATTATCCATCATTGGACATCTCCTTCCTCAGGTTAGTCAGGTCTTTGCTTTCAAAACCCCATGCTGAAACACTGTCCTTCCAGTGGACTCTTTTAGCTGCTGCTGAACAGCATCCAGGAACATCGTACTGTCCCTCACAGAAGAAAATGTGAGTTCTCTATGAAAGTGACCAATGACAGCTTCAGCTTCTCCATTAGAAGTCTTTGTATTTTGCATCCAGACCTTTGGCTGTCATTGCTGACAGCAAGCTTTCACTGCTATTCGTGGGAAGAAGCCCCAGTCTGAGCACCACACGTTCCTCTACACAGGTCTTGCAAATGTCACTTCTGTTTATTTCTCTTACACATCCACTGAAAGCTCAGAGCAGTTTTTCAAGGCTTCCCACAACCTCAGCCAAGCCAAAGGTTCACTGCCTAATTATCATCAGTAATGAGCCTCTACTTAAACTCTGCTGTCCTTAGATGAATTGACAGCCCATTCCTTCCAAGGGAAGACAACATCCTTGCTTTTAAATGAGATGCCTGTTGCTTGGTCTACCATGTTTGAAGGTTTTCATAGAAGCAATGGAAGATGTTGATG